AATTCTGTTTCAGAATATGCTGCCTGTTTAAATCCTGTATGCATTTTAAAAAGTAGAGGTCATAGTATGGTGCCTTGGGGGCTCCATCAAATTAAGACATTTTTGGCCTGAACATCTTTTTTATTGAATATTCCTTAATCAGCTTTCTCTCTGTATATTGTTTGATCCGTAAATAAAAAAGTTTCAATCCAACAAATTCACAAATCCAGATCAGTAACTGTCACATTTGGATGGTTCTTCTGAAGCAGCGCCTTATTTAAAGTCTTTAAACAGATAAGCAATTATTTTAAATTACTTTCTTCGTAAAATTTATTTTTCCCATTTTAAACATTTAAATTCTTGAGGCTCCGTTTCATGTTTTCTAAAGGTAGACCCTACATTTTCTATAACAATATGTTTGATATAAATACACAATAATTGTATAATTATAAAGTAAGATTTATGTAGCTCCATAATAATATCACAAAAACGTTATAGTTTATTTTTCCTGGCGCGCAAATGTCATGAATATATGTCCACTACCGACAATGAAATGCATAAACCTACTCCTTCTGTCAGGAGGAAACTGGAGGAGATGGAGAGAGAACATGAGAGCAGCAGAGAAGAAGAGGAGAAGCTGCACAAAGAAGTGAGAAACTGTCTTGCTGAACTATTCTAACTTTGACCTCTGATGGAATGACTAAAACAATCTCGTCCTCTGTTCGTCTGCAGAACTCGAGGTACCGTGAGGAGGTTCTGGATCTGAGCAGCAGAAACCTTCAGCTCAGCAACGACAACGCTGAGCTGAGTGCCCGTCTCCGTGGAGACCAGGAGTCAGTTCAGATGTTGCAGGAGCGTTTAGCCATGATCTCCAAGGCGCAGGAGGAGGAAGGAGCATCGGTGAGCAAACTGAAAGAAGTAGATCTGTCTCAAAGCTGAAATGCTTCTTCAATTCTGTAGAGCTTTATGCCAGAAGATTCACACTTAAACCATTTCTTGTGATTTCAGGTGCGGCGGTTGCAGGATGCCGCCATCCAGCAGGAGAGGGAGAAGCTGCTGCAGCAGACCTCTTGGATGCAGGAGAGACAGCTGCTGGAGAGAGAGCTCCACTCTTGCAAGGAGAAGGTGCTTAAAGCCGTCATCTTTTCTTTTAATCTGTCATTTGTGTAACTGAAGTGACCAGCACATAAGCAAGACTGCGCAACAGGGACATTAAGTTCCTGGATCTGTTTAGCTGAAAAGAAGCTTATGTATGTGTACTTGAATAATCCCAGCACCAGGTCAACTAACTAGATATTTCAGTGTTTTTAGTTGCCTTTCAAAAGCAGGTGTGAGGAAAAAATGTAGTTCCTCACTCCTGCTGCAGGAACAAAATGACTGGCAATACCCATTAGGCTCTATACGGTGATGCCCAAATTTGCAAAAAAAACAATTTAAAGTCTACAACAAAAGGTTTGGTCTGTCCACCCCATTTCTTTATTCATAATAACTGACAAGGAGGAGAATATTTCTACAACTCTCAAGTTTACGTTTAGTTAAGATTGAATGTTCTGCATTATTGGAGACATTTTTTGTGTTTGTGTTTGATTTATTGGTATTACAATATTCATTTAAGAGCTAAAAAGCTGGTTTCATCATCGGCATAACTGATCTTCAGTGTTTGGTCCAGTCTTATGTTAAGTGTCAGTCAGTCTTGTGTCAGACTGTGTGTTAAGATGTTTTTTCAAAATTCCTCAGCTGGGTCGTCTGTCGGAGCTGGAGGCGGAGCTCAGCAGTGTGACGTCGAAGCTGCAGAGGTTGGAGGAGGACAAAGCCAAGCTGCTGAGAGACGCAGACGACAGAAACAACAAGGTCAAACCTAAGACAGAAACTAACAAAAAGCCACTGTTTGAAAATAAAAATAGTAATAAAAAAAACTCCATGGAATCAGTTCTAACATTTAAGTTTGTCTCCAGCAGGTTGAGAAACTGCAGCAGTCGTTGCTTTCTGTGGAGCCGGAGGTGGAGTTGCTACGCTCTCAGCTCCACGCAGTCAATCAGGTGAACCTTGGCCATGCACAGGAAGTACCTGACCTGCAGAGGAAGCTGCAAGATGGTCAGAGCAAGGTCAGTGCCTACAAAATACAACACAATATTGCTCCTTACCAGAAGGTTTGTTTCCCTGAGGGCTAGAGAATATACATTTGAAGGGACCTATATTTTCCTCAAAATATTTTTTTCATTGTAATTGAATGTATGCCCTAAATCTGAAATCTGACATCACTCTGGTTAGGGTTCTTGTCTCATGCAGCCTTTGGTTATGGGTTTTGTTTAGACTGAGGACAATAAACCTCTGTATACTGTCAACAGTAACTTCACAGATTCTGTTTTTTCATCTTTAGATTGGGGAGTTGGAGAGCAGCGTCAATAAGCTCATGAGGGAGAAAGAAGAGCTGAGACAAGCTCTAGAGGAGCAGGACGAGCAGACCTCAATCAGTTTCCAGGAGGAGACCCACAAACTGAGAGTCCAGAACCAGGAGCTCCAACTCAAGGTACCAGACTGTTTAACTGCCTGAATGTAAGCATAGATGAGAGTTCACAAAAGCTAACTGCTTGATGTTTCTCAGCTGTCTGAACTACAGGTTCAGGGTCTGGAGGTCCACAAACTGACCCAGGAGCAGCAGATCCTGAAGACCAAACTGAAGGAGCTGGAGACGGCACAGACGCAGGCTGAAGATCAGGTCAGGACCACAGCTGACAGAATAAACAAACACTAAACACTGATATGAAATCGGAGTTTTGTGTTTTAAAAACATGTCCTGTATGTTTAGGCTTTGCAGGCGGACACTGCGCTCAGTCTGGTACAGGCACAGCACCTGCGGCAGTTGCAAGAGCTGCAGGAGCGAGCAGGGGAAGGGACCAGAGAGCAGGTGGAGCTGCTGCAAGCTCGGCTGATGGAGGAGCAGAGGAGGAGTCAGCAGCTGGAGGACACACTGAGGCTTCAGGCCCAGCAGAGCAGCACCCAGCTCAGCATGAAGCAGGTAAACTCACAAAGGTCAAAGGGCACGGTAAGATCGACAAAGAGGGAGTCCACATAGTTTTAAAGTAATTAAAATATTTTTTATTGAAAACTAAGGCAAAACTTCCTAATAAAGAATATGCCGTCTGTAAATCAGCCTGCACAGGTGCATGAAATCAAATGAACTGGCTCCGCCCCTCTCTACCTGAAGGCGATGTGAGTGGTCAGAGGCATGGCAGCAGGAGCATTGACAGTCAGGGGTTGTCACAGTTTCTATTGCTCTTGATGTCAGTGTGAACACTTTGATGGTGGCTCGCACATGTCTAACTGTGTCTGTTGTGTTCAGGATCAGTATGAGAAGGCAATGGCGGCCCTGCAGCAGAGGATGGAGGAGCTGGAGACTAAACTGAAGGGGGTCCGGCTGGTTCTGCAGGAGAAAGTCCAGCAGCTCAAAGAACAGGTCAGTCCAATAAACATACAGTCCAGATACTGTTAGTCATCCTCTTAACTGTAGAGTGAAATGTTGACCTCTCTTCTGCAGATGGCGAAGAACACAAAGTCGAGCATGCTGCTGAAGGATCTGTACGTGGAGAACTCTCAGCTCATGAAAGCTCTGCAGGTCACAGAGCAGCGACAGAAAAGTGCAGAGAAAAAGAACTTTTTATTGGAGGAGAAAGTCCATGCTCTGAACAAACTTCTGAGAGAGATCGTCCCCGCCTCACTGGCCACGTAGCTGCTCAATGAAACACCAAACCACCTCAGCGTCACTTTCACTAAAGCAGCTTCAGCTCGGAGACAGACAGAAACAGGATTTGTTTAGCCCAGCTTAGCACAAATACTGGAAGCAGGGGAAAACAGTCTTCCTGGCTTTATACCAGTGCAAATACAGCAGCTGGATGCTCTGAAGGTTGAGAATGGTGTGACTTGTTTTTAGACCATGTCTACAAAGTGGGACCTAACTGTCTGAAGCACAAACCCTTAGAGTGTTAGTGGTTTACCCTTCAGATTTATTTATGGATCAACACTGAAGAGCATCGTTGTGTAAAGGCAAATACAATATTTAACATATAATGGATTATATGATGACCAAAGGACATTAAAGAGAGAGCCTAATACAGCAACAGAAAACAAGTTAACCTTTTTTTTTTTTTTTTAAGATAAAGGAAAACATTTTGCAGATGTTTTATCACTCACACGAGCTTAAACATCTGTGTAGTACAGCTCACACCCAATCATGTTGGAGCATTTTGTTGAATGCTGGAAAATTGTCTGTATGGAGAGCAAGAGGAGTAACTTATTGGTTTTTCAAATCTTCATCGTGGGCGTCTGTGAAAAACATAATCAGGACCCACAAACGGTGGTGAGATGTTGATTTGTAGTGTGCCAGTGGGCAGGGCCAACTACATGTCATCACCAGCCTTTCTTGTAACAACATCTATTCAGCAGGTGACTGTTTCTGTTTGTTCTAGCTAAAGCTGCTTCACAGAAACTGAACTTTTGCTCCTTTAAGACGACCAACCAGTCCGACCACACACAGTCCTGTGCATTCAGCAGGACAGCACTACTCTGAAGTATTTCAGCCATGAGGGTATTATGTTGTTTTATATATTTGTATTGTTGTTTTTATGTCAAAGTGAGACTTTTTATTTTTGTGCTCGTGGATTTTAAGTGTCTGCAGGCGCCTGCTGTCCCAATTACATGTTCACATGCATTCTGTTACAGTCTGTAGTGTTTCCCTCAGAGTGAGACCTCCTCCTCTGATGATTTTTCCTTTTCAGGTACAATGAACCAAATCACACACCTGTAAGTGGGACAGACTGACTGACGACCATGTATGATACTTAAACATGAAAACCACATTAAATTATGTTTTATCAAGCTGTGCTGTCTTGTGTAATTTATATGAATAATAAACTATTATTTGATGAGTGCAGGGAATGAGAAAGATAACTTTATTTCTGTAAAATGTTTGAATAACACTTCAGTAATGACAATTGAAACAGCCACAGAGTGGAGCAGAAACGTAAAGAAAAAGAAATAGTTTATTGCTTACATGTTGTGTTCAAAGGACAATGGGAATTAGGACTTTGAAGCTTCCAGGCAGAAAATGTTTTCCTGCTGTTAAAATAAAACACTTTGCAGATCGATCACATTATTCAGGACATGACATGCTCCAGGACACCCTGACGAATCAGCTGCTCACATTTCCACCGCGGCAGGAAGTGCTGTGAACAAAAACACACATTGTCAGTGATGCATGCGATTTAGTGTCATATGATCGTTATAGCTTCCTTTATAGTGAAACAGTGTTTCTTTGTTATACAAGCGTCATCATAACTGTTTTAGTCATAGCCTACAAATTCATGTATTCTGTATTAAGTCATATTGACAGTGCTGTGATTAGTAGCAGCAGAGTCAGTACAATTTGTTAAGATAAATTGACACAGTAAAATATATAAAAATGAGTTATATGTATTTTGATTTCATCAATAGTAAGAAAAAGGAGTTCTAACCTGACTGTTTTTCTTGAGCAGGATCACTGTTCCATCATCGATCTCAAACTCTCCGTGGTCCTTCAAACACCTCACCTGAAAAACACACAATATTATCACTGAGTCCAGATAAGAAATAAAACCAGTTTAAAATGAAAAAACATAAATGTAAGTCAGTCACTCAATGAAAACCAAAAAGAGAAAGAATGTTTGATGTTGATATTCTCTATTTTGTTTTCTCTAATTTAACAAAAATATTGAAAGACAGACAAGTGTCCAACATTAAACAACAAATAAAATAAAATACAGGTTATTTATGACTAAATAAGAATTTATGTAAATAGTTCATCTGAAACCAAGCTGGACTCAAAGTTACTAACTTTAGAGAAACTAGAGTAAAAACACTGTTTTTATATCAACCAAACAGCCACAACAATAACTATTTGAATCCATATCACTTTAGAGCTATTCAACTTGTATTAACCTGACATTTCTTAAAGTAATTAAACCTTAAAGAATGGTAACACATCTATATCAACAGTATGTTAACTGTAATAAGAGTAAACCTCACTGATTGAAACATAACTTTATCCATAACCTACACACAGGAAAGCATTTCACAGCTTTCACACTATATCTCATTTCTGTTAAAGGAAGGACCATAAAAATGTTTTAATAGACTCATTCATATCTTCAGGCAGACTCATTGTGTTTCAATATCACTTTATGTTCATAAATTATTATCATCGGATTCAGTGTGGATCTCTTCTGGATCTCTGCTAAATTCATTAATGATATACATTAACTTCTGTAACGCTGGACCACGATACTGAACTAGAGTGACTCTCGCTTGGCTCAGCTTTGCAGCAAAGAAAGAATAACAGTGTGCATGTATGAGGACAGTTGCTTAATGAAGACAAACATGAACTGAGAAAATGTCCAGAAATGGATCTAGTCCTACATTTCCTTTGATTCAAGTTAAGATCACAGACCTTAAGAGATGGTTGTTTTGCAGTGAAGGGGTAAGCAGAAGACAGGTCACAGAGTGACATAAAGACTTTCATAAATAGCATAATACATTAATATTATTATTATTATAATTAAAACAGTCTCACCTCAATGTACAGACTCTTAGGAGGCTTCATGTCCTGAGTGATGTCCAGACCCTCCCCCCCTCCAAGAGAGCGCATGAAGGAGGCCAAAGACTTCTTATATTGACTGAACCACTGCACCTGAGATCACAGACACATTACACACAAACCTGTACAAACATATATAAACTCTGCATTACAGATCAACTGGACCTTCTAAACGTACAGCTGTTCAACAGAAAGTGATGTCACACTCACCTCCTCTGCACACATGTGGAAGCGGACGTTTGGTGGCAAAACACTGCCGTACTCCCACCGCAGAGCTCTGATCCTCAGAAGGCGGTCGTAGCTGACAGGAGGAAAAGATGTGTCTTTTAGTAATCTAATGAAACACTCTGAAGGCTCACGTGACAAACTGGAGATCAACAGGTATGTGTCAGGTGGTTACAGGTAGGCTGTGACGCAGCGCTGGTTCCTCAGCAGGCAGCAGTGACGCAGTTTGATGGAGGGGATCAAGTCAGCTCGACCATCAGCCTTCGCCTCGTTTCTGAAACAGAGGAAGACATCAGAAGTTGACTTATTTTTCTTTCTTTTGACAAGCTAAAAAGAAAATTATTTTTTAACAGAAATCGCAAACTTAAATGAAATGGATTGATAAAAAAATGAAATAAAAACGTGTAGTGTAAAGGGGATTGCTTTCTTGTTAACTATTCAAATGATGCTGTTAAAAAAAGGAGATATGGACCAATATAATATAGAAAATAAGCATTGTAAAAAAAGGAGTAAAGGGGGTATATTAATTAAATTCTGAAGATATAATCTGATTACTTCATGATCTAAACAAAAGATTAAAATCATTTCTCTTGTTGTAATCTGAATGTGATGGTGTTCTTGTGCTCAATTCTGACATTCAAAATGAATGGGGATTATTAAAAAAACAGATTTTTCAGATGTTACTCAGTGAAATTAAACTTTATTTAAATAGATGTATTACCACAACAATAGTCTGTCAAGAAAAAACATCTGAAGAGTAAAGTAAGCAAATACTAAAACAGAGTACAAATCTATCATTTATAGTGTGCTAAAAATGAGAGGCAAGTCGCTGTTTTGAACCAAAATAACTAAAATTATTTAGCTGTAACTGAATTTATTGCAATGAATGAATGCATTTTTAATGAATCTCTAAATTTAAAATATTCTTACACATCAGTCTGGTTCTGTTCATAAAGAGCTTCCATCTCCTGCAGAACCTGCCGGAGTCCATCCTCCTGAAAACAAGAAGGAGATTAAAACTCATTTAAAAACAGGAAACTACAATAATCTGAGGGATCAGACACTTAAAAACCTTTAGTTAAAACAACCCAATAAATCCTTATGTTCACTTATCATTACAGTGTTTTAGATTACTGCTTACATTGTCCTGCCCAGTGCATCAATAAACGTTTTCACTCTATCATTAAGTTTTAAAGTGTTATGATGTGTGAAAAGTTTTAAAGTGTTATGATGTGTGAAAAGTTTTAAAGTGTTATGTTGTGTTGAAAAGTTTTAAAGTGTTATGTTGTGTTGAAAAGAGTTGATAGTGCTGGAATTGAAGGAAGTCCTGTTTGTAGTTTAAAAACATTAACAAAACAATTTTGTAGTTAAAAACGTAAACAACAAAATGTTTGTAGTTAAAAACATATTTGTAGTTAAAAACATATTTGTAGTTAAAAACATATTTGTAGTACACCGGGGGCTCACTCCGGTTCACTCCGGTTCACTCACGTTAAAAGCGGGCAGCTGACCGTCGCTCATCCGCTGAAGTTCCCGGATTAACTCGATGGCTTTCTCGCAAAACATCCCAAAAGCTTCAGACAAACACCGAGGGTCAGAAATGAGTAATAATAACGTTATTCAAAGAAGCAGGACATTTGTCTCTCGCCGTCTCATTCTCAATTCAGTTTCGCGGCAAAATCGGAGCAGTGTTTTGATCATGTGACCGGATGACGCGACACTCCGGCAGCCGCGCTGGGACAAACTTCATGACAGATAAACATAATGTTGTCGACAAACAGTTTTGTTCGTTTACTTCAATGAAGTCATACCGCGCCACCGGTTTATGCCCCACAGTCTGGCTGTTTAGAGTTTGTGTTTTCTTTCTATATTGATAGATTTTAGCAGTAACAATCAGTTTAATCACTGTTTTCGCCTACGGACTGACTTCCGGTTAGCGAATATCACAGCTTCCGGGACAACAAGCTACAAATAAATCGACATCTTCCATTGACGACATAGAACCAACAGAGTCTGAGAAGAACCGTAATTTTATACATTTATAAATGTATCTTGTTATAAAACTGTAGGAAAGTTAGATTTTACATTTTGTTTGTGTCGCTTTTAGAACTTCGTCGTTCTGCGTTGTGATGCATTCACGTCGCTTGGGAAAGGAATGTGGCTCTGAAATGGTAATTATGTGTTTCTGACTTCAACACCAGGACATTATTTCAGTCATACGAACACTGAATGCTTTTCTGAAGTGAGAACTAAAGTCGAAAAGTTAAAATGTAAAATAACTTGAAAGATTAGAAGACCCCTCTTCATTATAGAAACATTCAAAGTGAGAAAATTGTCAGGCAGGTGTTTTTGTTTTCTTTTTTCTTTTTCACCAGTTATAGGTTTGTAAATAATAAGGTTTGATTAACATGTAGTCTACTTCACCTTATCTTTCCAAACGTTTTACCTTTATTTTACTCCACTACATGTCATTGGTTAATATCTTACTTTTTACTCTCCTACACTTGTCGGACAGCTTTTTTTTCACATTTCAGATTACAAACCATAAAAAACATATATCCATATAAGACAATTGACTGTTTTTGACAAACTAAAGTGCCAAGTGCAACTTTAAGTGTGAAGAACTGCTCTCAATTCTTCTCCCATTAAATAAAAGGCATTGTCACAATGCTGAAAACAGGCATTTTTTCTAAATTAATTAAAGGTGTAGCCTGTATATTTTTTTTAGAGATACATGGTTTTTACAGGATAGCAATGTCACAAACATATGCTAATCTTAATTAGATTTAACCAATTGCTTTGTTTAAAGTATCCAAAAGTATCTTACGTTAGGAATTGGTATATATATATATATATATATATATATATATATATATTAATGCAGCAGTAATATTTTCCAAAAGCCTCATTATATGGATATCAACAAGGCACTTCTTGTTCCCCTACTTTTCTTCAGCTATTTAATGCTTTTTGCATTTACCTGAAACATAGGTAATGGCTACATTAACAATATACTTGATTTTTCCATACAAACCCTTGATCGTCACATGTAATATGACGCAGAATTATACATTAAAACAATAAGCCATTTTTACTAAAGTTAACTTTATATAGGCTTATGCATTTAGTTTTGTTTTGGACTAATTCTCTGTATCACCAGAAGAGTTGATTATAAAGGGACAATAAAGTAGGTTAAATGAATCCTCACTACAAGTTTATATTGATAAGATTGATTATGATCAGTTCTATTTTGGACTTTGTTGAAATAGTTGTCCTTTACTAATTTGGATTACGCTAAATTGTGCTGCTTTTTAATATGTTGGTTGTGTGAATGTTTATTCCTGAGAGAATGAACTTCCTGTTTAAATCCTAATATTTACAGTCTATGTTTAAAATATTTCTTTTACGAGGTGTAATTGAAGGCACCGTGCACTACTTGAGGTTTTTGCCCATTTCCGACAACATATTTTGTTTTGGTAGTCGTTGCTCCGACGCTCCCAAAGGGCCGTGGACGCAGCAAATTGAGACCACATGGTGGTTTTTCTGTGCTCTGATTGGCTGTGACAGCTTGGTGCTCCTCAGCGGATCTCTGCGGATGTCAGTGCAGGCACAGAGCTCGAAACACAGCGGGGACTCGGCTCCGTCCTCACCGGCTTTCACTGCTCCAGCACCCGGCCAGCTAACGGCCTGCTCCCTGCTGACAGGCCCGCGGTCACGGCTTGTCAATCCTTCGGTATTTATCCGGTTGATTTTTGTTTCTGACGTTTTCAGTGATGCGAAAGCGGAATAATTCGCCGACTACGGAGCATGACAGCGGCACCACCGGCACTCTGCTTGACAGCGACCCGGACCTGAAGCAGCGTCCCAGCAGGGGAACAGGGGGGCCCGTAGCAGGCGGCCAGCAGGGCCCGGGAGTGGAACCGGACATGGGGAAACCGTTCAGAAGGTAAGACTGAGACCGGAGCAGGTGTGTGAGCACCTGAACTAACTGTCTCCCTTTCTGTGTGTATTCCTGGTGGGGTGAATTTCTCCTTCTTGTTTGCACTTTTAATAAATTGCAGAAGTTTAGACATAATAACCCAGAATGTTATTCTTACACAGTGATAGTTGATATTTGATATCATTAACAAATTAACATCTTTATCCCTGCACATTTTTTAATGTTTCACTGCTGAACTGGTACTCTGAATTTACCAATTTCCAAGATGATATCTGAAACTGTGTGTTAAAAAGAGTTCATTTGAATATATTCCAAAATATTGACCCATGCACATCAAACCAGCCTGTCTGAGGTTAAGCTGACCGGTTCTTCTGGTTTCAGTGAGACTGATGAGCTGGTCAGACTTGAAGCTGCTGATCCAGCAAGACCCTCCCTCCACAGCCATCAGACAGACACAGTGACACCATCAGGTTACCTGTACAGGTGTTTGTGTTGTTGATGATGTTACTAGTGTTTATGTGAATGGATGTCAATGTGAAGGTCTGCTGTGTGATGACGTGAGTTGTCTTTTTGTTGGCAGCATCATAGTTCTGTAAATCAGACATGAAAACTAAAGCAAGACTTTTACCAATTACACACACTGGATGTTGTTTCATGAAGCCCTCCTTTGGGATGTTTTTGTTCCTCCTGATGGAGCCTAATGTAGCTGCACGTTTGGAAAACAGATACCACATGAAGACCGCAGTCAAAGGTGGATGAAAATCTCAGTCATTTTACTTTATAAGTAACCTTTTTTAAAGATTACATTTTGACCTTTTTATTGATCGGACAGCTGAGGAGAGATAGGAAATGTGGGGTAGTCGTACATTAAAGAGCTGAGGTTGAAAGTCAAGGACTGTTGCCTCAGTGAGTTTTTGGGGCGTGTGCTGTCTTGACTCAGCACAACCAGTGACCCCACTTTATCAGCAGTATTAGACAATAGAAATGACATCATCAATGTCATTAAGCTGCTTTACAAAAACGTTGTATCATTTTTATTTTTTACATCTAATTTATTTAAGTTATATATACACACATATATATATATATATGTATATGTATGTGTGTGTATGTAAGTGATAGCAGAACAGTAAGGTGACTCTTGAGTCCCTGAATGCAACACAGAGGTCAGACCATCAGACAGGAAGTTCACAAACAGTTTAACCCAGTCTACACAACTGACTCAGTTATCTGAGACACATTCGGCTTTAACTTGACCCAAATCACTCTCCGTAGTTTGGCATTCAAGCTGAAAAAATAAGTTTTGGTAAATTGACTTTAAGTCTATTTCTGAATTATATTTCACGTGATCTAGAGAAGACCCAGACTTTCAGTCCGAGAGCTGTCCTGTGTTGTCCTGTTGCTGCGTGTCCTGACGGCTTTATTCTTCTTCTTCTGCTTCTTCTAATCCTCATTAACATAGCAGCTTAAACACCAACAAGAAGGTCAGTCTGAACAACCATATCCACCTGCAGGTAGAGGACACAGCAGTGCATGCTGGTCCTCCTGCTCCAACCTCAAAACCATGTAAACACAGAGTGGACGCAGAGGAAACCCTCTCCTTAATAACACACACCGCTTTCTGTGTGTAGTATAAAGTTAATGTAGGGATCAAGAATCACCTGGAGGAAGAGACAGATAGCAGAACAGAGGTGTTCTTTTAATGAATCGAAATATTTGCAAGAAAATGAAACAGAAATGATCTTTGTTGATAGAATATCTTAAGTACATAAAAAGGAAAATGTGTCATTCAGAATTTCCCCGGCGGAGAAAGAGGGTTGCTTATCTTCTTGCTGATCGTGTCCTGTACACCTCATAGTTTTTAAAGAAAATAAATCTCCTCCTCCTGCTGTCTTTTAACTGGCCGACCGTGAAACTTTGCAGTGGAAAATGTAAACAAATGCTCTTTAGACTGCTTTCTGTAAAATCACATTAGTCTTAATCTGACCTCCTGGCAGAGACCACAGGCACAGTGACTGTACAGATTTGATCAGTCTTAAAGCTGAAGAGTTGCATTTTGAGGTCATATAGAGGGGTCACTGTTGAACTGAGCCAGTTTAATGTTTCAATGCAGCTCTTTGATACTGATTGTTCCCTTTACTGTGCAGGACGTTTTCTTCTAGCAGATGACCTCCAAACTGTGGTACACATACTCAAACTGGAGAAATAGATCTAAATGCTTTTATTGAATGCTGCAGTCATTCTCTCTGTGTCGATTTAAAGTGAGCCGACCTCCTTAAACAGAGGTAAACTCTAAAATTAGATCTCTGTCATGTGAAGAAGTAACTGACAGGAAGTGACACCTTTTAAGGACATGACTGATCTCTGTTTTGTTCTGAGATCAGCTTTACAAACTGCAGCTTGGTATTATTGTCTCTCTGCATTCTGTTTGACTTCATCAAATAAGACAAGAAGTGGCTGTGCTGCTGATGCGGTGGTAACGTTCAGGTCACAGGTTTGATTGCAGAATTACTGAATCACTTCTTTCAAATTCAGCAGTGAAAGAAGAAGTCTGCCCTCAGATAGTCTGAGTCAGCGTCTGCACTGATTGTGCTGTATTAAATACACGAACACGAGCCAAGATGTTGCACTGGGTGTCGAGTTCCTAAATGTCCATGAACAAACGCAGTGTTATTTCATTTTAGTCAACCCCACTGCTGCATGGCCCAAATACTCACTAGAGCAGCACATGTAGATAACTCTGCTGTCCGACTGTCCCAAAGCACAACTCTGTTTGTGTGACACAACAAGAATTGTAAATCTGTTGGCTGTTTTCAAAGTTTGGATCTCATGAAGCTAAGAGCAACACACCGGGAGATGAGACAGTTCAGTGTAAAGCATGTTGACGCTACATGATGTTAGCTTTCATAGTGAAAAATAGAAATATCAGCCAATCGGGGAACTTCTTTCTCAGCACTAGTGTGTGTGTTTTCCATTCAGTGAACAGGAGAGGAAGAGGCATTTAGACTTTCCATTTCAGTAAACCTACTATTAACACTTCTGTCCAATTCCTGCACTGAAAATGTTAATTCAGAAAAGTATGAATTTATTTTCATTATGTAATACTGGTGCGACTTAAATATAGAATGTACAGAAAATTAACTGATATAGAAATTCAAGCCAGTGTGACTTTTTTACAGTTCCGAAATAATAGTATTAAAATAATCATTTAAAATCCTCCAGCTCAGGTGTCAGATTTCCTCTGTAACCTGATTTCTTTCAGCTACCTGCTTACTGCCGTTGCTTGGTTTGACAACATCACATCGGTGTGTTTGTTTCCTGAGACGTTAGTGTTCAGGATTGCACGGTCTTCCTCTGAGTCTGTTATGAAAGATTTAGCAGAGCAGAGAGCGTTTTTGGCGCGTGCAGCCCTAATAAGTGTCTGCCACTCACACCGAGTGCTTTACCGGCCTGTGACGAGAGAGACGCTCATTCTGAACATCAAAACAAACTCTCAGGCTCTCTCAAAGTGAATCAAGATTTTCAGCAATTAATTGATTTGTAGCTATTCGATATTTTGTAGGCAGGCAGGCCATCCACCAACGATGGTGAGAATCCTATGAGACATGAGAGCTCAGGGGCTCCAAAGGAAAAGATGTGGTTCATTACTAAGATTTACAGATAGTGACTTGCTGTAATATGGTGTGAATGCACAGAGAGAGAGAGAGAGAGAGAGGAAAGAATATGAGCTCAAGGTACCATATTCCCCAGTAGTCTAAGCATATAGCAGCATAACTAGGAGCTGGTCTACACCTGTGCCAGCCCTAACTATAAGATTCATCTAAATGTTTTAAGTCTATTCTTAAAAGTACAGACTGCCCCCCCCGGACGCTGACTGGTACATGATTCCAAAGGAGAGGGGCCTGATAACCAAAGGATCTACCTCCCACAGTACATTTAGGGACTGTAGGTACCACGAGCAGGCCTGCATCCTGGGAGTGTAATTCTCTCAAAGGGTAATATGGCACTATTAGCTCTTTAAGATAAGATGGTGCCTGATCATTAAGAGCTTTAAGAGAATTTGAAATTCTATATATGATCAGTTTATATTTTCAAGTCAACATTTGCTGTTTGTTCCCCTTTTTATTACAATGGACTGAATATTCATGACATATGTCCTTGTGGACAAAACAAGACATTTGATGAAGTCCTCTTAGGCATATGGAAACACCGATAGATGTTTTGTCTATTTCCTGGCATTTTATAAAAGACGTAAGTAATTGACTTTTTGAAAAACAATGTACAGATTGAAGTACATGAAATTGATCTCTGTTGTGGAGACAGAATCAGAACTTTGGAGAGAATCGAAAACACACCGACTCAGCTGTTTTTAAAGTCTAAAGATAGGGGGCCTTCCTGATCCCTTGGATTAATATCAAATCATTTGAAGATAAGCTATTTTTCACTCCCTGTGTGACAGACATCGTGACATATGATCCGTTTTGATTGGTCCCGCATGATGTTTATATCAGGAGTTGAAACATAGCCTTTAAGAAGCAGAAACTGAATCACTATCTAACTGCACATGTGGAGTCTGAGTAGTAGCAGCCAAGAAGACTGCAGGTGTAACTGTCCTCGATCACATGTTCATTCTTCTGTGATATGACCTTCTGCATCTGTCAGCTGTTCATTGTTCAAAGCAATGTAAGTCTTTTGTGCAGCTACACACTCGTCTGTCTGTTCTGGTGTCTGCCCCCACTTTTATGGTGATTGGTGGTTGACTGAGTCTGCAGTCCTATCACTATCAAACCCCCCCCTCCCCCCCAAACACACCACCAGCATCTCCACCTCTCTGCAGTGGCTTCACCTCTGAGTGACCTTGGGGTTGCAGCACGCAGTGTGACATCAGCTAATAATACAGCAGGCTCGCTGCCAGCTGCTGCTGAGCCTCCTGCAGCTGAACATACGACCCCACAGAGCGACCAGTGAGAGAGTGCTCTAATAACACACACTCACAGAGTGTATAGACACATTCAGTGTGTGTGTGTTGTGTGTGTGTGTGATGGTGCAGGGAATGAATGCCCCCTCAAGTTCCTCAACTGTTGAAACCGAATTCTTGCTCAGTCAGGATCAGATCTGAAGCTGCAGGAAGGAAAGAAACTCTGTAACCACAAAGTTTATGAATACTGTGTTAGTACACATTCGGTCTAACTCTTGTATCATAAATACTGTAAAGACAATCCTGCAGACTGACTTTGCAGGAATGTCTTTTAACACATTATTGCACCAAATACAAAGCCTCTTCAGTTGTAATCAATGCATTAACAGGGTCCTTCTTTTATACAGCCAGACAATCTAAACCTACCTATATCATCTTTAAGCTATATATTGAACCCTGGCTGTACCATACACTCCAGTACACAAACTTAAACTTGCAGTCAGTTTTTAGATTGATTTCATATTTCACAGTTGTTTCGTCTTTATTCACACAATCGGGTGTCATTCTGATGAAATGGCCAAGACTAACGTTGGCTAACGCAAACAGATGGTCGACTACCTCACTGTCTGAAGTATCGTTTAGGGTTTCGTGTGTTGACCTTGGAAGACGCAGACACCCAAGAGAAACGTCTTAACACACACAAATAAATATGAAGTCGAATAAGATTTCAAGTTCAGCAAATGAGGTTCAAAGATAACTTTAAAATGCCTGATTTTTTTATGTAAAGAAAAACCTCAAATGTGAGTCGAACAGTGGAAATGTGATGGTTGACATAAAGATAGTCAAGGTTGATAAAAGAGATCAGTTGTAATTTTTTGGAAGCTATGTGGACAATAAAGGTTTAAAAAACGTGATAAACTGATGAGGAAAATAATTGTTTGCAGTTCTACTACTACAGTCTGTGGATGAACCAACAATGGCATTCATGTTTTAAACAGTCACACCCATCATGTGCTGAGTCAAACAATAAACTTACACTTGAAATGACAACACACACACACCCACACACATACACATACACACCCACAGTGTGCACACAAATGTATTTTTAACATTTGAGAAAACTAGATCAGTGACTCTCTTCAGACAGTGAGAAATCAAACCTGAGGAGGAGATTCAAGCTGCATCTGTTTAAGGAACCTTCAGTTCTTTTTTGTTTTCTTTGTGTGCTGAGCTCAAGTTGTCTGTTCATCTGTATTGTCTGCACCTGACACAGAGCCATCTATCTTCTGCTGTCATTGAATAAAACACTTCAGAGGCAGAACATGATGATGTTGTGAGTTCTCACCTCAAAGCCCAAAGTGGCAACTCACAGTCAACTTCCTGGTTGCTGTTCCGCTACAGATGAAAGGGTCTGTCGTGGATGTCGTTTTGTCATGATGAGTTGAATGGGTTAGTAGAGATCTGAAAGAACAGCTGCTTGTCCTGTTTCTGTCCTGTTTCTAGAAGTGCTGGGCAATTCCTTGAGTTTAAATTTCAATTTCAATCTTGGCCTCCCACCATCATGAAAACAAGACTTGAAGATTACTCGATTACTGTGCTGCATGCCGTGTTGCTCTGGTTTTCTGCACAGGTTTTGTTATGCGTTTGTTGCATCTGATTCAGACGTAAAACCAATGAGTAATCTAGTTCAATATTAGTGATTTCAATCTAAAAATAATCCTGATTATGATTTTTGCCATAATCAATCAGCCCTAGTATCTGTCCTATTTGTGTTCTGTACCTGTCCAGCATTTGTCAGATTTGTGTCGTGTATATATCTGTCCCGTTTTTGTCCTGTATTCTTAGTATCTGAGTCGTGTTTATGTTCTGTATCTGCTCTGTTCTTGTTCTGTATTTATTCTGTATATCTCTGTACCTGTCCTGTATCTGCTCTGTTCCTGTCCTGTTCCTGTCCTCTATCTGTCCTCTATCTGTCCTCTATCTGTCCTCTATCTGTCCTCTATGTCCACGTCAGCATCAAGCCTGAGACTCATTAGTAGCTTGTTTATCAGAGCGTCAGAAGCAGATATTTAACAACTGGATGTCAGCTGTCTTTATCTCTCTGCGTCTCTTTATGGTATCATGTTTTATCTCACCTCTCTTTCTCTCTGAAGTCTGCAGTCCCCTCAGAGTCCCAGTTTACTGTTCGTGATTATTACTGCCCCGACGCTCCAGTTTCTCTGCTGTTATTCAGCATTATTCCAGTGAGGAGGTCTTCAGTAGATATGTTGCACTAATGCCATGTTATTATGATTTTTTTTTGCTTTAAACACAGAAAGATTTGAATGACCCCATGACCTTAACATTAGTGCCACCCCCAGAGCCAAACATTATGCATTCATCAAAGAGGATTAGGAGGATAGTTCATTTGTTGACAGTAGAAATAAGTCTGAGTTCAGATAAATACACAACTTTCTATGACAGTTTAGAGCTTTACTCAGCTGAACTGTGAACAGCTTTTTATGATTAGCTCAAACTTAGTGAGGTGAATGGTGGATTAAACGGTCTTAACCCTCCTGCGGATGAAGCATTGATTGAATGTCACTCGTTATTTTTAAAGAGCCGTACCCTGTATATCGTTCTTTCTTTCTTCATTTAAAAAAAAAAAAAAGATATTCACTCCAGAATATCCTAGGACAAACAAGCTGCGTCAGGATGTCTCATTGGGCTGTTGGAAACATTGGTTACTATTTTGAAGTGTTTTCTGACATTATGTAGACTCAAACAAATCAATTAATGAATCACAATCTAAATACTCCTTAGATGCAGCTGTAAAAGTTTTATTAAGTATTCACCTTTGCTTTCTCATGTTCGCTGTGACCAGGAAAAAACAAAGCAGATTAAAAGTTGTCGTATTGAAGGTCTGTGTAATGTAATAAAGAATCATCGCGAAGCATTTCTTCAATTATTAAAAGTACAGTAAGTTAATTGCATGTAAACATACCGGACTGTAGAGGCTGTGCACGAGGAGCAGACTTCAGGTTAAATGAATAATTGAACAGGATGAAGTTGCTGGATCCTGTGACTGCAGGGTTATCAGCTTACACTCGCACACACTAAGTGGGCTCACATATCACCAGCATTGTTCAGCCTGTTTGGTCTAAAATAGATCGGTGTTGCTCCCACAGAAGGAGACAAATAAAACCTGAGTGGGAGTTTAAAGATGGATGAGATGCCTCTGTTGAAATGTTCTGGACAGTGAAGTTCAAGTTGTGTTTTATCATGTAAAATGGATGAAAATGTGAATTTTGTATCAAGAATGTAATTGTATTAAAGTGTATAAGGGAATCCCCCTACTGTTCACTTGATTTATTACCTCAGTAAACATTTCCTTAACAAGTGTGGGGTCTCAATAGCTAACTTTAAGTTGTCTTAAATACCTTGTGACGTTAATTTTGTAGATTATGATCCTATGTAGTATTTTTCCAGTTAGGGTGAGGCAGAGGTTTTTCAACAGGCAAGGCAGGCAACTTCTTGGGTTCTCAGACCAGTAGGGAGGCCCCTGAGGGCTGACAAATTTTAAACCCAAGGGACTATCAGACCGTCTGATGTGGATCTCTGGTGTGTCTCTCTCTCTCAGGTTGGGTCTGGTGGGGAAGCTGAAGAGGATCTTGCTTTGGCTGTTGGTGGTCTACATCTCCATTCCTTTCATCGTTAAACTCTGTCCATCCATCCAGGCAAAACTAGTGTTCCTCAACTTTGGTGAGTGTGAGTGCCAAAAAAAAGAAAGGAAGCGCAAACATCCGTGAATCCTGTTAGATATTGGGAGTGAATTTTTCACAGCATTTATCTTCCACTGAGGATAAAAAGTCTATAGATTTGATGATCATCTAACCTTTTGACTCACAGCACTTTAATATGTTCCCTTGTTCAATATCTCAGTTTACAATGTATTAAGATCTGAATCCAGGACTACACTGAGATTTCTGGTTGGACTTTTGAGTCTTCAAAGCTAAATGTGTCTGTTCAATCTTTGGTTAACTGAGTGAGGTGTTGGTCAATGAAAAGGTACAAGGATTACTAAACTGACGTCTGATCCCTCTGTACTCGCTCTGCTCAGTGAGGCTGCCCTACTTCGTCGACCTGAAGAGACCTCTGGACCAGGGACTAAACCACACACACAACTTCTACCTCGAACCTGAGAGCAGTCTCAAGATAGGAGTCTGGTAAATACACACACACACACACACACACACACACACACACACATTTACGTTTAGTCTGGTGAAAATAACAAAGACCCAACTTTAATCCACCATGAGCACAGCAATAAGCATCATTTAGCAAAATTACATTGTCAATGAAACACTTGTAAATGAAATTGTTGCCAAAATAGTTGGAAGACTTTTTTTCTAAAACATTTTTAAGCACACGTAAAAAATGTTCCAACTGCCTGTTTCCCGTCAGGGGCTTTAAATGTAACTGCTTCTATCTAGTAGCACTTTTCCATTACAGCAGTCATGTAAATCCAGTTTTTCCGAGCTTGTACACACAGATCCATGCAGTGAACTGAACAGTAACACAGTAGAGGATTAATCCAGAACAAAACATTTAAGTTTCTTAATAAAGGGACTAAATGAGCACACTTTATATTTTGGGCACTTTTTTTGTATCCACCCTTGTAACCAGGTGTTGTTCTTCTTCTTCTAAGTGCAGTGTTTATTTTAGTATCTTAGTTTATTCCACCTTAAACTTCACATGATATGTTGAAAAGCTGCTTCTTATTGCTGCACTGCTTTTTTTAAACAGTTTCATCACTTTTCTGATTTGTAAGTGAAGGACCTTGGCAATAAAAGACTTGTCCTGTCATCATCACACAGCACTAAAAGCAGCAGCAAGAACAAAATAATGCAATTGATGTCAGTTTAAAAGGTCACAGTCGTCTTTGTTGAGTTCTTTAAGATTGAGACTTATATGCTCTATGAGTATCATCTAAATACATTAAGTCAATCATCAATAAAAGTCTAAAAACACAGAATAACTTCCATACGTTTTAAGCAGAATGAAAAGTTCACCCTTTTACATTTCTAGCCCAGTTTAGAAATGAGATTGTTTTGTAAACGTGGACGGGTTGGGGAAGTATTCAGGTTGAACCATTCTCTTACAATACTGTTACAAATACAAAGCCGGCTTTGAAAATGTAATTATATTCAGGAATATGTACTTAAAGGAATTAAAGGTATCATTTGTTCTATTATTCTCTCATTATGAATACTTTATGTGATGGTGGGGTTGGTTTAATTTTTATAAATGACTCAGCTGTTAATTTGCTCTACTAAATGATTGATTGATTAATTGGTTGATTGTTCGTTTCAGGCACACAGTTCCTGCTCACATGTGGAGAGAAGCTCAGGGGAAACAAGGCGAGTGGTATAACTCCATGTTTAGCTCCACCCACTCTGTCATCCTCTATCTCCATGGAAATGCAGGGACCAGGTAACCCCACCCCCCCCCCCACCCCCACCCCGCTTATACTCACCTATAAATACATTCTGTAGGTCAGTTTGACCATTTTGATCAGTTTGGTAAAGGTGTTTTTTTCTCTGCAGAGGAGGAGACCATAGAGTCCAACTGTACAAGGTGAGCAAACACACACACACACACACACGTACACACACACACACACACACACACACACACACACACACACACACACTGCAGCTGTTCAAATACTACATGTAAATTGTGAAGGTCACATATTATGCAAAATATACTTAACCATGTTTTTCAAATGCTTTTTCAGACACAACTCATTTGCATTTAAAGCTACAGGCACAGAAACAGCCTGTTCTGAACAGGGCTGAAATAGAAGCATTTATAGGCATGCTAAAATCCAGGAACAGAGTTTTTATTTAAACTTTTTGAAAAGGAGTATAATATGTGACCTTTAAATCAGTTATTTTGTAGTTCCTGCTTTTCACCAATAGAGGGCAGATAACTGGAGTTTATCTACGTGTCTTTTTTCAGGTCCTCAGTTCATTAGGCTACCATGTAGTCACATTTGATTACAGAGGTGAGAAATAAGCTTCATTCACACGTTTGACTTGCAAAGCTTCTGTCTGTAATACTAAAAGATAACTATATGTTGGTGTGTGTCTGTATTTGCAGGATGGGGGGATTCAGACGGCTCTCCATCAGAGGGGGGAATGACATCAGATGCTCTGTTCATCTACGATTGGCTGAAAAAGCGACTAGACAACAAATTACCACTTTATATCTGGGGACACTCTCTAGGGACAGGGTAACTCACACACACACACACACACACACACACACACACACACACACATATATACACACACACATATACACACACACACATACACACATATGCTTTAACACACATAACACTACTTAAAAAAACTTTTAAAATAAAAAAACACACATACACATCAGTACACACATGCTACACTCAATTCAGCACAAGGGTAGTTTTGAAAAAATATATATTATTTTGTTTTTCAGAGTTGCCACAAACCTGGTCAGAAGATTGTGTGACAGGGGTAAGACGCGCACACACACAAACAGCTGATGTTGTCTCTTTACATATATCACTTAGTGTCAGAGTGTCAGATCAATAATAGAAAAATATGTGTGACTTCATTTGAAAACCACCGCAATCAAAGAGGTGATTGAAATTCAATTCAATTCATTCAATTCAAAAAACTTTATTTGTCCCCGGGGGGCAATTCAAAGGCACACAGAGCAGTAAATTAACAACAGTGCAAGTAGACGAAACATTTTAACCTAAATATAAAGTGTCAATTTAAATACAACTTAAAGCTTAAACTTAACTTAAAAATACAAAATATAAAAAGAGTAGATATAAGTGGACAGTGATCGGACTAACAGATGTAAACAGATGTAAACAGATCTATGTGCAGTAAACGAGAAATAAATATGTGAGAAAGCACAGTTTGTTTGAATTTTAAACTGCAAAATGTTTTCTACCACAGTACTAACACACCCACAGTTCTGAGTCATTGTGAGGCTAAAATTACATTTTATTATGTCCCTTCAGGGACTCCAATTTAATTGAAATGTGTATATTCAGCCCTTAGAGGGCTCTTCAAGGGCAGCCTTCATACATATTCATTGTTTTCTTTTCAGGGAGTCCTCCCGATGCTCTCATCCTAGAGTCTCCGTTCACCAACATCAGAGAGGAGGCCAAGAGCCACCCCTTCTCCATGGTAACACTGACATAATTACACACCATCAAAGACACACAGTAAGTGCAGGTGTGTATTTAATGTGTTAGCCTGTTGGTCTCTGTGTTTCAGGTGTACAGATACCTGCCTGGCTTTGATTGGTTCTTCCTGGACACCATCACAGCCAACAACATCCGCTTTGCCAGCGATGAAAAGTACGTTATCTTACAACTTCCTTCTAGTTTACAGCCTTTGACCTCTGTGTTGTAATATTGCTGGATATAATAACAACGTTTTAGGTCAGGAACTTTTCCAGTAGTAGCTCATGAATGTTTTTGAGCATTAGGAACGTTTTTTCTGATAACAGAGAAACTTGATCTTATTTCTAAATGAGTTACTCTTTTGGTAAAGGTCAATACTTTATACACTCAGGACACTTTTAAATACATTTAAGAATGTTAGGGACCTTTCTGAACTTGGTAACTATTTTTTTCCCTAGGCTTTTTTATGGAATAATTTGGGTTTATTTGCGCGACCGTTGTGCCATTTTTCATGCTTGACATATTTTTCATAAATAGTTTTGCAAGAAAAAGTTTTCTCGCCGGTTGATCATTTAGGAACTTTACAGATAATAACAGTTGAGCTTCTTTTGTATTGAACATGTTTGCATTCAAAATGTAGAGAAACCATAAGTGAGTCTTCTGAACTGTTTGTCGACTCCACAGAGACTGTTAACAGCTGATTTACTCCTAGCTGCCCAAAGTCCACAGCAGCAGCGTCACGGGACTGTTTACATCTTTATTACAGCTGCTGGCCTCTGACCTTGCTGACAGATACGAGTCATTGACCTGAAAACACACATATAAGAGTGAGAAGGTCATGCAGTAATTTAATCAAAACTTAAGTTTTTAAGAGCAGAACTTGAGCAAAACAAAGACTGATGGTTGAACTGCTGATAGTTGATTTACTGCACATCACAGCAGAGATGTGTAACTTCCATGAATGAAGCACTGAACTCAATTTGTGTGTCCCCTCAGTGTGAATCATATCTCCTGTCCTACGTTGATCCTCCACGCTGAGGACGACAGTGTGGTTCCTTTCCATCTGGGTAAAAAGGTAAGAGACCATTTACAGGTCATAGTCAGAGTTTTTCAAGACCACACACATAAACAATTGGGGTATATATATTAAAAATGGAAGACTATAAAAAGTGTATTTCAGTTTTCCATTCAAAAAGCAGAATTATGAGTGATGGGCATATATAAAAATGTGTTAGGTAGGGTACTTATAACGTGTTGCTTCACCTCTTCCTGCAGCTGTACAACATGGCCTCACAGTCAAAGAGCCTCAGCGGTCACAAGGTTCAGTTTGTTCCTTTCCCGTCCTCTCTGGGCTACAAACACAAGTTCATCTACAGGAGCCCAGAGCTGCCAAACATCCTCAGGTAGAAGCAACACTCTATATTTACATAATTACTGTAATGACTACAACGTCTGAAATTGATCTGAAATCAATGGGTTAATTGTTCTTTATTTTAAAATGAGTTAAACTTGACACAAAGCATTAACGTGGATCAACTTATCCTCAATGAGCATGTTGGTTTAATAAAGTGCTGCGTCTTTTATTTGAATGTTTGGATCCCCTTAAAGTGACGCTCACATTTCTCTGTGTTCTCCATTTTTGTTGCAGTGATTTCCTTGGCACAGCTCCCCAACAGAACGACGATTCAGCATGAAAACACATTCACAATTTCTGTTTTAGACGGCATACAAACACAAGCATTAAGTATTGTTTGTTTTCTGATTGGGCTCAACAATCTCGCATGAACTGGACACAAAACATATCATTCCCTTTTCTTCCTGTGTTACCATTCCTCTCTCACCAACACTGGCATCACAGGGTCCTTATAAAAAAAATGTATTTTTAGTTTGACGCTTTTATGACTTGAATTATGAATTAAATATGTCTTGTTTTATGAAGCTGTTGTTACGGCGTCTTACTGTCCGTATCGAGGGAAAACATGAACACTTTCTTCATGACAGCAGAGAGGTGCACTATAAAACAATTTTACATACCCGGACTGTCTGTAAGTTAAATTGTGTGAAGACTCCTGAATCACAGATAAGAAATAACGGGTATCAAAAAATGATTTAATCAACCGTTAACCAGGTTTCCTTCTTCATGCTTTTTGTGCATTTCAGTTAAACAGTCATTCAACGCATCGTTTGAATGATCTTTTGTGCAACAAAAAGTAATGGCAGGTCACATACCTCGGTCAGATTGTTAAAATGAACGTCTGTGAAGAATATAAAAAAAGTGAAAACAAGAACCAACACAGCAGCTGCAAATAAAACACCAGAGGAATGCTGACAGAGAAGTACAAGTAAATTCTCAAACCACTTTCAGGACCACCGTTTAATCCAACATGACAACTGCACACATTGTAGGGCTCTTAAACTTAAAGACCTGCATTTAGGACTTAGACCACTTTATCTTTTGACCAAAGCCAAAGAAAAATTAATTGAGGTCTATGAAAAAAGTAAGTCTAAGTCTAATTATAGTATTTTTAAATATTTATTTTGGGGCTTTCTATGCCTTCATTTGAGACACAGGACAATGACATGTGGGGAATGACATGCGTAAAAAGGAGCCATAGGCCGGATTTGAACCTGGGCCACTTGCTTCAAATTACAAAGTCTAGATGATCTTTTCAAGTATAATTGGGTTTTCTTAGGAAGATCTTTTACTGCAAGTAAATTTCACTTATCTTGTCAAACATCATCGACTTTAAGGGCTCCAATAAGGTTTACACCAGCAGTGTAAATTCAGACCAAGCATAAAGCCTCATCCACAGCATGCTGCCATGCTTTAATCATTGTTTAACGTTATGGATGATGTGCTGTGGGGAATTTAAAGTTATGTTTACCTGAAGCAAGCAGGGAAAATATAAAAGGAGGAAGACTGAAGTTGGATATACAGTATATTCTGCATCAATAACTTAGTGTGTGGACTCCTGGGACACGATGCTACCGTTTGTTCTGTTGTCACTACATGGCTTTGCTCAGAGGCTTTATTAATGTAACAGCCTCAAATCTGAACATACAACATTAAAGATCCATAACCACATTACAAATGTAACATGTTTTATTGATCAGCAACAGGCATAAGTGCTGGCGATACAGTACTTTTTAAACTGACAAACAATTTAAGGTCAGACTTACATTCATGCAGAGTAAACTGATTCTGAATGAAACACCTTAACACATCAGGAACCTTTAACATCAAGGATTTCTGTAGCTTCCATATTGTCTGAGTTATTGTTATTTCCAAAAGAGATCCTGTTCATGTCAACGTCCAAGTGGTACTTTTTAAAAGGAAAACTTTTTTTTTTTTCTGAAACATTTGCACTTAAAAATATGATTTTGTAAGAATATAAAATATGAGTAAAAAGAGTGAATATGAGAGCTAACTTCATTTAAAGTCTGTAGTTAAAGGCGCTTACACACAAAGGTAACTGTCAACAATAACAACATGGAGCTTTGTTGTTGATTCAGTGTAATTTTGACCCTAAAATGACCATGTGTGACCATGAATATGAATATAATCCCACATGAATACAGCATCCGCACCATAAGCTTTATGAATGAAAGTAAAAAAAAAAAGAAAAATCAACATATAGATGATACAGTGTAAAATGGATTCCCAGTGATTCAGTGGAATTTTCACTAAAACAAGAGTTCATGATGTTTTTAACCTCCAATGTCAACACAGATTCATGTTTCAACGGGTGAAGTATCCCTTTAAGGTTTGTGTTGAGCATGAGCATCTCAGAAAACAGATTATTAACTTTACAGAGTTTGTTCAGAGATTCAAACAGCTGTGAAGGTGGACCATATACTTGACTCTGCGATCAAGCCCCTCAGTTACTGGACTCAGACGGTGGCTCGTTTGGCGGTGGGATCTTCACGTCGGACGGTTCGACCCCCCAGATTTCTCGGGCATACTGGGAGATAGTCCGGTCGCTGGAGAACTTTCCAGAGGCAGCAATGTTGCGAATCACCATCTTGGTCCACTCTTTGGGGTTCTAAAGGAAAACCAGAAGACAGAAATCAATCTCTTGGTTTGAAGGGTTTATTGTATTGTCACAGTTAAAGACCTAAAGGTGAACAACTGCGATAGAAAATGTTTGGTTCACACTCTGAAGAATAAATCTGTTCCTATCAAAAGACTTTCAGACGCAAGTCATATCTCGTGTGTGTGTGTGTGTAGATATCATAGAATCAAGAAATGGTTTGCTAGTCACAGATCTTTAAAGAAAGGAGAACTTTACTGTTGAATTTTAGAACAGAGAAACATACTACCTTGTAAAGCTCGCTGACTCGTTCCTGACATGCGATGTAGGCTTCAAAGTCAGCAAACACCTTAAACCTGGACGAGGAACATCGAGAACAGACAGTGAGGTCTTATGCACAAAGTACTGAGAAGCCAAGACAGAAAAAGGACGTTTGTTTGGAGTTGTCAGAAGATGCATTTTTCCTTTTTCTTCATGAAACCAGGCTGACCGTTTCCTCCTGTTTCCAGTTTTCATGCCAAGCGAGGCTTAATGCATCCTGGACTGACTGTTGGAATGTTTCTTTTCATGATTCGTGATCTTATACTGAGTAAAAACACTTACAGTTTTACTGAATCAGGATGAAAATACTAAATAAATAAACAACAACACGCACAACAAACAGACTGTTTTTTGTTTTTTTTTAACCTGTCATGGTTCATCAGCATGTTGATCAGGTCTTTGAAGAGTTCAGGCTGTGTGGGACTGAAGAAGCCGCTCTGGATCTGATCCACAGCCAGTTTCAGCTCCGGCAGACGCTCATAGTACTCTCTGGCATTGTACCTTAAGAAAATACAACAATCACAGGGCTGACAACTATGATCCATGTTTTCCCTACTAGCTTAATGAGTTAACATGAAGAATAATTAGCAAATTAAACTGATAAAGGAATAGCATCCAGTTTCAGCTCATTGTCAATAAATGCACCACATCAGCTTCTGTCACACTGCAGATGCTGACGGTGGATTTTTGTGAAGAGAGGAAGTGATGTAAAAGCCTCCTCACCCCTTCTTGTCCATCTCCTCCACGTCGTCCACTCTCATGCCAAAGATGAAAAGGTTTTCCTCCCCGGCCTCCTCCGCCATCTCCACAGTGGCTCCATCCATGGTGCCGATAGTTAGAGCGCCGTTCAACATGAACTTCATGTTTCCTGTTCCTGACGCTTCAGTTCCCGCTGTGGAGATCTGCTCCGACAGGTCAGCAGCCGGGATCACTAAGTCAAATAGTCACACACACCCAAAGTCGTCCATACCTTCTGGTTACTCAGGGCATAAGTTAACTATCCTGTTGTCTGTTTCCTGTTTCTGAACTTTACTAAAGATTTTCTGTAAAGCAAGAAGCTCCACTCTGTTGGTATGTCTTAAACCGCAGAGAGACTCTGGTTGTGCAGAAGTTTTACAGAGTGAGAGCTCTTCAATCTACTTTTAAGGAGCCAAACTCTCCTGGTAATCATTTGATTATGTAATGTTAATATTTTCAACTCATCAAACTAAGGAGTAGCTAACTAAGACTTATAATAAAATATAAAATAATAAGATCGGAGTCTGTTATTAGCCGAAAATAAATTTAAAGATTTAGATCTTGATTGGTCCTGATCCTTAAAGAAAACCAAAACTTTATTTTCTTCTTATATCCATTAACTGACTGAAAGTTTCAGCTCATCCCAGAATTTTAAAATGAAAACTTTGACTTCATTTTTGATCAGTTCCTCCTCCTCCTCCTCTCACCTCTCTCAGCCAAAGACACTTTGTAGTTTTCCAGAAAGATTACTTTCAGTTTGTCTCCCACTGCGGGGTCGTTGTTTATCACATGACCCACGGAGGTGATCAGTTTTATGATCAGCTTTGCCATGTGGTAACCAGGAGCTGCCTGTAGAGGAAGAGAGACGTAAAACACCATCAAAACTACACTAAACAAAGTGAAACTCCAGCATTCTGTAGACACATCTTTATTGATTTGAAATCAGATCGAACCTTTCCTCCGATCATCACCGTCCTGGGAACAAAATCTCTGTTGGGCTCCAGTTTGATTCCTGAAAACAAAACAAAAGAAACACATGTGAAATGAATATTGTGAAACTATGTGAACATTCGACACAGATCTACCAGCAGGGGGCAGAACACTGACACTAAAAAAAGACAACTGCTCTTATACAGACTCATATTTTTACTGAATTATACTTCAGCTCATTTCTATTATCATTATTATTATATTACATCTGTTTGTATGGCTGTTTTCTGATTTTATGACATTATCATTAAAGGGTCAGCTTGTGTTGCTTCTTTTCTGCAGACGCTCTGCCTTACTGTTGTAGAGCATGACGGCGTGCAGACAGCTGAGCAGTTGCCTCTTATACTCGTGGATCCTCTTCACCTGCACGTCAAAGATGGACTCTGGGTTCACTTTCACCTGAGTCTGGTCTTGCAGGAAGGACGCAAACTTTAGCTTGTTCTCCTGGTAGACAAAGAAAGGTGAGACAGAGAGGTAAGGAAAACTAACAGGTGAGTGAGTGAGACAGACAGACAGACAGACAGACAGGTGTGACAGACAGACAGGTGAGACAGACACACAGACAGACAGAGAGACAGACAGACAGACACACACACAGACACACACACACACACACAGACAGACAGACAGACCTGCTTGACTTTGGCCACGTCTCTGATGAAAGCCTCATCGTCTACAAACTGGAGAATCTCCTTGAGTTGATACAGATCAGTCAGGAAGTCTTCTCCGATTCTCTGCAGGAAAAACAGGAAGTATTTAGATCCTGTACTTCAGTAACAGTACAAAATACCACACTGTAAAAATACTCTGCTACAAGTAAAAGATCTGCATTAACACACGTTTAAGGAATCACTTGTA